CACCACATATTATATGCTTGTTAGTAGGTTTACCTGAATTGTCCTGAACACAGCTGACAACACGTGTTCATGTGTCCTCATTAATTTTTGACATGTTAATTACTGAACAAAATGGTTCAACCCAAACTGAATTTGCTACACATTTGATTGAAATTTGATTAAAATCAGATCTCCACTCTCCTAGGTGAAGATCTGGCAGCAACCGTTTAGGGTTCACGTTCTGCTGACCTATGTTCTTATCCTAATCGTTAATTTGGTCAGCCATTGAGATGAAGTCTTACATCTTCTTGTTTGGGAGACTGGACAATGTGATTAAAACGCATCAATATGTTCCGAACGATTTGATTCACTTTCAGAGTTTCGAAAGTTACAATTACATAGGCTAATTTAGAAATCGCCAAAACATGAAACCTTAATCGATCGCTGTCAAGTTCTTCACCTAATACAGTGGGGATCCGATTTTAGTCTGCCTTCGATTGAACACAAATACCGATTGTTTGATCTTTCACCACACCATATTATGTGTTTTTACAGAGTGGCAACCCTTTTTGACCATACTCAAAGTAATTAAAGGAGAATCCGTTTAGTTTGTAAAATGCATTCCTCACGAAAACAATGTGATCGTGTCTGACGTCATACACATCATGTCATCTTCAATGACATATTTAGATCAGACGAAGAACAAATTACATTTTGGATTACGCGTAAATGACGTCAAGATCATGCGAGTTTTATTTAATGTCCAAGAATCCATTTTCAGACTTAAGAACAACTCATTTTGAAATTGTTGGAAGTGTTCTTTTAAGGTTGTGTCAATATTTCTTTGCTCTCAAAACGGAATCCTAATGCAGAAGTTAAAGGAAAAAAAGCAAATTTCACAATAAGACTGTATACCAAAAAGAAAATGTCATGCGACAAGTTCACACAAGCATAAAATGAAAGAGCCACAAGAAATCCTTCAAAAATAGAAAAGAAAAAGAATGTTGTTGGTTTGTTCTGTCAGCGCTAAACAAATCCATTCCTTCAATATAAAAACAAATCATTCAACAAGCATCCAAAGAAATCATCGAAACTGCATGTGACTTTTTTGAAATGTTTGGAAAAAAAAATTCTTTCATTGTCCAAGATACAGAAATAGCGATCAAGAAAACTTTGCAACAAAATAGTTAAAAGATAAAGACACATGAGTAAAAAGAAACGAGAATGAATTATACTCATGCTGATAGGATCTTTGTCGAAAGTGACTGTTTCTTTATTATTATCGACTTCTGGAACCCCTTTTTGGAATTTCCATAAAATTTCTCAATCTTAATATGCATTTTTCTGATGTTAGAGTAATGTCCATTATTTTTGTTCTGGTATGTTTTCTATTCCTGATGGGATACACTGTTTTAGATGTCACGACTACGTATACAACAACAGTAAGTAGTTCTCCCACCTGTCAAATTGAACGAAAAAAAATTCGTACTAGAATCCAGTCGAGTACAAAGTGATGAGAAACATAGCCGCTCCGGTACTAGAGTCATTTCTTTCAAAATAGATTCTTCCATCTCTGCTTACGAAGAAGGCGCAAGTATATATTGCAATCAATTAAATCGTAAAATTCACATTTATGTTCAGTTCATAAAACTTATTTCAGTAATGTCAATATTATTAAAAATTTGGACAAAAAAATATATTTTTAAAAGGAATGGTCACGGAGATCCTAAATTTTCGGAAACAATTCTACAGTGAATTGTAACAGATGTATCATGGACACCAAGAACATGGTTTTGGAAGTATGTTAAAATCATTTTATAGTATAGTAGCAAATATCTAAATGCCAAGAGGATAGCATGCTTTAAGAGTTGCAGCTTCGATGTATAAAAAGTCCAAAAGAATCCCATTAGGAAAAATTTTATACTGTCTTCTTTACCTACCTCAGCCCTAATCGAAATTAAAGTCAAAAGATAAAGCGAATCGATCGAAATAAGCAGTCACTCATATCTAAAGCCAAAGTTCTCAAAGTGGACAACAGCAATCCAGAGTAATAGCTCCCCTCAAAAATTGCATGCAACTGTTGTTCAGCAAAGTGGATTTGTAGTTGAATAACAAACTAGACAACAGCGCGATGCATAATATCCTTACCAAGCGTAATATATTGACGAAAGATAAAACCCAAGAATTCATCTGAATGTTTCTGTGGAAGGAAAACATGAACCATTTGATAACGACGCTGCGTCAACAGGAAATGACCACCCAAACCACCTAGCCCAACCGAAGATCAGATAAAACTTTCAAACCTTCAAAATAATTAAACAGATGAACCAATACATTCTCATGATGAAATTGCTACAACAATTAGATGACGTAAGGTGGATAACACCCTAACTCTTTGGTCCAAAAGCACAAGGTGGTAATGATTGAACTAAATCATAGCCTAACATAATACTATTAAAAGAGGCTGGTATACTACTACTTTATATCTTTTCTAAAAACAAAAACAACAAATAGTCCAAAGAATAGAATATGTATCTTTAAAATTAAGCGCAAGGTGACATCTTTCGAACCAATGATTCGTGGATGAAGAGGAACTGACCTGTGGCGCACGGGCGCGGCTCTTGATGCTTCCTCTCCTCCCTGGACAATTTATGCTATTGAGTAGTATGTTCTGCACAAAGTATAGTGTCAGTGAGTGCTGAAACGTTATAGTTACCCACCAACGACGAGATATTGATTAGTACGCCATGTGTACAATAAACAATCGCACGTGGCTGAATGGCAGAATGCGACTTTAATCCAAGGCAAGCAGACACGAGACACAAGTTTTGCCATTTGTCGTCGACCAAAGCAAAGAGAGCTGGAGAATGAAAACCCAATATTACGGGGTGTTCAAACTGATAGATGCCATCAACTTAAGAAGAACCAGTCCTCCTGGGTCAGATGGAGGAGATGGAGTGTTACCCGCACAAAAGGTTTTTGAAGAGGGAGAAGACCTTGCTGAGAATCTAGAAAGAAGAGGTGGAGATGATCTAGACAGTGCAGCAAAATAGAGTAAAGGGGCAGAAAGGGCAATTCCAGTTTCAGAACCAGAGATGAATTCAGATAGAGAACAATATCAGAAAATTTAGTTGTCCAAAAAGGATCATAGATGAAGAGAAGGAAGAGGAACGTAAACCTATGGGTTAGGTTAAATCCCTTTTTTTTCTCCCAAAGCCTACATATTACTGCTTATGCAGAAGAAACAAATATTATGGCATTGTTTAAAAAACGTAGGTCACAACATCATAAAAATTTACAAAAAGTAATATATCATGTTTCAAGCGAATGATGAAAATGCAACCCACTTGCTTTTATTTATTACACCAAACATTCCACTTTGTGAGTGAATTGACTTCATTATTATTATTATTATTATTATTATTATTATTATTATTATTATTATTATTATTAGTAGTAGTAGTAGTAGTAGTAGTAGTAGTAGTAGTAGTATTAGCTTTTGTGAATATTCATGAGACTTTTCGTTAAAACTTACCAAAATCTGCAGAGAGACTTGTCTGTAAACATCGGTGTACATTGGATACACTTACCGGTATTTCACGTGGCTGTTGAGCTACTGTTGGCTGAAGGGTACTGTACTGTACTGTACTGTACTGTACTGTACTGTACTGTACTGTACTGTACTGCACTGCACTGCACTGCACTGTACCGAACTGTACTGTACTGTAGTGTACCGTGCTGTGCTGTACTGTAATGTACTGCATTGCATTGTAATGTATGTATTGCATTGCACTGAACTGCATTGCATTGAATTGTATTGTGTTGTGTTGTGTTGTGTTGTGTTGTGTTGTGTTGTGTTGTGTTGTGTTGTGTTGTGTTGTGTTGTGTTGTGTTGTGTTGTGTTGTGTTGTGTTGTGTTGTGTTGTCTTGCGCTGTATTGTATTGTGTTGTATTGTATTGTGTTGTGTTGTATTCTATTGTAGTGTAGAGTAGTGTAGTGTAGTATGGTATGGTATGGTATGGTATGGTATGGTATGGTATGGTATGGTATGGTATGGTATGGTATGGTATGGTATGGTATGGTATGGTATGGTATGGTATGGTATGGTATAGTGTGATATGGCATGGCATGGTATGGTATAGTATCGTATGGTATATTATAATATGATATGGTATGGTAAAGTATAGTATGGTATTTTATAGAATAGTATGGCATTGCATGACATAGTATAGTATAGTATAGTATAGTATAGTATAGTATAGTATAGTATAGTATAGTATAGTATAGTATAGTATAGTATAGTATAGTATAGTATAGTATAGTATAGTATAGTATAGTATAGTATAGTATAGTATAGTATAGTATAGTATAGTATTGTATAGTATAGTATAGTATAGTATAGTATAGTATAGTATAGTATAGTATAGTATAGTATAGTATAGTATAGTATAGTATAGTATAGTATAGTATAGTATAGTATAGTATAGTATAGTATAGTATAGTATAGTATAGCATAGCATACTATAGCATACCATAGTATAATAGCATAGCATAGCATACCATAGTATAATAGCATAGCATATCATATCATAGTATAATAACAAAGCATAGTATACCATAGTACAATAGCATAGCATAATATAATAACATAGCATAGCATCATAGCATATAATACCATAATATAATAGCATATCATACCATAGTATACTAGCATAACATAGCATACCATAGTATAATAGCATAGCATAGCATACCATAGTATAATAGCATAGCATAGTATAATAACATAGCATCGCATAGCATCATAGCATAGTATACCATAGTATAATAGCATAGCATATCATAGCATAGCATTACTAGGTTATTGACTGAGTATTGGAAAATATGGTTCCCTGGTTCAATCTGTTTTAATACTCAGTCAATAACTTTTTTCTTATATACTTGATAATAAGCAAATTAATCGTTCTGGTATATTAAAAGAATAATACAACTGAAACAATAATATTATTTTGTTTTGTTCGACCGTTCTGGAAGCCTAATGGTTAGAGCGTCTGCCTCGGATGCTGGAGGTCGTGGGTTCGATCCCCAGCCGAGTCATACCAAAGACTTTTAAAAAAAGGTACTAGCAGCTACCTCTCTTGGCGCTCAGTATTAAGAGGTTAGTGTTAGGTCTGGTGCCAGAATAATGTGACACGGTCCATTAACTTGATCTTCGTGTGCATCCAAGTTTCAATCTGTGTATCCAATTTTTATTAACTCATGCAACGTGTTTGCGGAAAGATATCCCAGTGCTAGACATCTATATGAACTGCCACACTGCAGACATCGTAGTGATATAACTGATAAATTGTTCAAGCTACGTTTAAAATCTAAATCACATACACACACACACATACACACACACATGATCTTCAATTTACAAAAGAACCTGAACACCACGCATTAATCTGTACTGTTTTAATATTATGAACGCACATGTCAGTCGTAAACATTACTTAGCTTGCAAAAAGATAATTAAATGGTATGTAGCCAAAGAAAAACAACGAAATATTGATAAGAGAAACGTAGGAGAAAAATATGAATCAGAGAATCAATAGAAATGGAAGGTACAATTATCATAAGATATGCCACAAAAATTAATCAAATGTGGTCTTTGTTGGCAACATGTTCGTCTTAAGTTGATACCGTCATGGTCGAATAAATACATATGGGAGATAGATTTAAAACAGCAGTGTGCATCAAGATTAAAGAATATTCCTTCTGCTTATTTATTCTTAGTTTTCAGGTGTGTCGTGCTTTATAAATTATTTTTGTATCCTGTGTGCTATATGATTTTATTTGGTGCCTTTACGACATTTGAGGTAACTGTTGTTTTCCTGACAGAATGATTAGTGAATCAATTCGAAGTCCTGCATTTTCAGCAGGAATCTTCATCAACGTTCCCATCGGTCTTGGGTAATAACTCGAAATAAGGACAGATATTCTTTTTGAAATTCGCCGTGTTTCACGAGATTCCAAGTTCGGGATAAAACACTGTTAATCTGAGTGACTGAAAGACTGCGATACAGGACACGCTCATGTACCTGATATTTGGTACATTGTATCAATGGTAAGTGTGACCTGATATATGATACATTGTATCAATGGTACGTGTGACCTGATATCTGATACATTGTATCAATGGTTAGAAAACCATGGAATGTCTATATGTTCTCTCTCTCTCTCTCTCTCTCTCTCTCTCTCTCTCTCTCTCTCTCTCTCTCTCTCTCTCTCTCTCTCTCTCTCTCTCTCTCTCTCTCTCTCTCATTTTTTTCTTGCAATCTTAAGTCTTTCTATTTTGGTGGTGCCTCACTAGGTATTTTTTTAAACATTTCATTTGAGATGAGAGCTAAATCTAACCATCACACTTGCATAGAGAAACAAAACCTTCACTACTAATTTAGTCATTCAATCAGTGTAGTTGGTATTTTCTATCGTTCTAGACTATCTCTTCACATAACATAGCCATCGCTCAACATTGTTTTTGTCTTTTTTATATCTCGTTTTTATCGCAAATTTGATATAGTGTCTTGCCTGATTTTCATTAAAAAGTTTTCACGTCACCTGGATTTTATGTAAGATCTTTTGCCTACACCTTTATATCTTCCTCATATGGTTGAAGAAGCAATATGTTAGAAACGTCACAATTTTGGATGCCGTCAACGTAGACAAGAGTAGTTCTTAATTGGCTGGCCTATATTTGCCATAAAAGGAAGTGGTGAATATTTTTACTTAACTCCTGTCCATATTGCTGGGTATTGATCCGTATAAACTAATGGGACTTTTTACTAAGTATGGTATGGTATGCTATGCTATCCTATGCTATACCATGCTATGCTATGATATGCTATACTATACTATGCCATGCTATGCTATGCTATCGTACCGTATCGTATGGTATGGAATGGTTTGCATTGGATGGCATGGCATTGCATGGCATGGCAATAAATGCATAACATAGCTTAGCAATATAATATAATATAATATAATATAATATAATATAATATAATATAATATAATATAATATAATATAATATAATATAATATAGCATAGCACAGCACAGCACAGCACAGCACAGCACAGCACAGCACAGCACAGCACAGCACAGCACAGCACAGCACAGCACAGCACAGCATAGAATAGTATAGTATAGTATAGTATAGTATAGTATAGTATATTATAGTATAGTATAGTATAGTATAGTATAGTATAGTATAGTATAGTATAGTATAGTATAGTATAGTATAGTATAGTATAGTATAGTATAGTATAGTATAGTATAGTATAGTATAGTATAGTATAGTATAACATAGCATAGCATAGCATAGCATAGCATAGTATACTATAGTCTGGTGTGGCGTGGCGTGGCGTAGCGTGGCATGGCATGGTTTGGTCTGGTCTGGTCTGGTCTGGTCTGGTTTGGACTGGTCTGGTCTTATTTGGACTGGTCTGGTCTTATTTGGACTTGGTCTTATTTGGACTGGTCTGGTCTTATTTGGACTAGTCTAAGCTAGTGCACTGCATAACATAGCATAGCATAGTACAGTATAGTGTAGCATAGAGCAGTGCAGTGCAGTACAGTACAGCTCGACATTAAGAGGTTAGTGTTAGGACTGGTCGACCTGGTATCAGGATAATGTGACTTGGTGTGACATCATGCTACATGTCTGTGGCATGATGCCCCCAGGGCTAGACATCACAATAAAATGCCACACTGCAGACATCGTAGTGATACAATACAATACAGTACAGTACAGTACAGTACAGCACAGTACAGTACAGTACAGTACAGTACAGTACAGTACAGTACAGTACAGTACAGTACAGTACAGTACAGTACAGTACAGTACAGTACAGTACAGTACAGTACGGTACGGTACGGTACAGTACAGTACAGTACAGTACAGTACAGTATAGTACAGTACAGCACAGCACAGCACAGCACAGTGCAGTGCAGTGCAGTGCAGTACAGTACAATACAGTACAGTATTGTACAATACAGTAGAGCATCATCACGGTGGTATCCTAAAGTTTGATGCACAAATCTTTATTATTGGCTTGGTAATTTATTAGACTGGAGCTATATTTAAAGGTTCATTCAAGATGATTTAATATTGCTGTTATTAATTCGATTAATGAACTGGATATGAATAAAATATTGTGTTAAATTGTTGTTTTGATTCAAAACTCTCAAATATGCATACTTTTTATATGCGTCGGCCAAATTTTAAAAATTCAGATTCTAATGCAATGAATACAAACTAACGACAAACTTCTGTCCGGAGACACATTAGGTAAAGGAAACCTGCTGAAAATGCAATGAAATCTCCGCAGGTTATTAAAAGTTAGAAATTTATAAATATTTAATATGATACAATGTGACGCATTCTAGAGGACTGAATCAGAGATTAAGTTATTTGATGAACAAAAAAAATATCAAAGCTCTGGATGGATATAACATTAATATTAATACATTCATTTAAATGATCTATGAGTATACATTGCGTGTGTCACACAAAGCTAAGAAGCAGTTCCACATCAGTCAATATGAAATAATAATTGTCATTTACCTCCAAAAAATACTGTTCGCTGGCCTCATACAAGAGATCTTCAAAATATTTGTAATTATGATGAAAGGTGAACTAAGGATTTGAAGAACACATTAGAATCGCATGCACATAATACGATTACCAAATGTCCCTAGGTTAAAGGAATGATAATAACATTTTTTGTATGTGTTTGAAAACTTTACACTAAATTTAATAGTTGATATTGGTCTTCAGGTCTGCCAACTTAATGAGAGTTGTTGATTTTTTTTAATTCGAGCCAATATTGAAACTCAATTACCTTAATTAATATGGGATATTTTCTCTGTACGATAAACCTAGGAAGATTTACTAAAAGAATGCATTCAATTTATACTCAATTTATTAACCTTTATAAGGCCGTATACATCTCCATCTTTTGAAATAAAATACTACATACATAATTCATAGTTGATTTATCTGTGTGTACGTGTTTATGCGCTGTTTTACCTACGCATACCTACAAGGTGTGTCGTTTCGCCAACGCTTGTGTGCAATCGAATGAATGAATTCGTGTACCGGACTTGATATGGGACGAAGATGATAATTCTAAATCTCCATCATCATCATCATCATCATCATCATCATCATCATCATCATCATCATCATCATCATCATCATCATCACCATCAATAATAATAATAATAATAATAATAATAATAATAATAATAATAATAATAATAATAATAATAATAATAGTAATAGTAGTAGTAATAGTAGTATCAAAGTTTTTTGCAAGAAAATCAGTAGCATTGCAAACAAAACCATGAACAGACTTTGAACAATAGATTCTTTATGTATTAACAACGCTCTGGTGGTTTAGTGGTAGAGCGTAGGTCTAGGATGTGGTAGGTCGTGGGTTCGAACCCCAGCCGAGTCATACCAAAGACTTTAAAAAATGGTACAGGCAGCTGCCTCGCATGGCGCTCAGCATTAAGAGGTTTGTGTTAGGACTGTTTGGCTTGGTATCAGGATATTGTTACTGGATGCTACATGTCTGCGGTATGATGCCCGAGTGCTAGTCATCACTATAATTCCCCAGTGCTAGACATCACTTTAAACTGTCACACACAAATTGCTTGCTTTTTTGAAAACATCTTCACATAGGAAATTATTAATCCTGGAGAAAGATTTTTTCAGAGTATATTAAAAAGATTTATCACAAAATAATTGCCAACTCATACGTATAAGATTATCATCCTTAATAATATGTATAATTATGATATTATAAAAATATAATTATTACATTATAATATCATTATGATATTCGTTTATTTTTAATAAACTACTTTTCACTTTTTGCCTTAAAATTTATTGCCTATTGTATGTATTTCAGAAGTTCAAGAGAAATGTAAAATAAAATAAATAAAATACAGTAAGTTTTTGATAAATGTCATAAAATGACAAAGAACCGAAAATTTGATATAATAAAATCAAACTAAATTACACAGACTAGTGAAAAGTTAAAACGTGATATATAACAAACAATATATTTGTTCTGATGTTTTTCATAATTCTTTATGATAAATAAGCAAAGTCTACATAGTTTACCTTTAAACTGAAGTTATACGAATGAAAACGCAGCAATACCAAGAAGGACAGACACATAAATATCATATGTAAATGTCTTACCTTTGATTGCTGAAGAAAATAATATCCAAAAATTATAAAATTATGATCAACTTTACAACAAAATGTATGAAAATTCCGAAATTTGTTTTAAAATTTCTTTGAATTTTCATTTTGCACAGTTAGAACAAATATACATAAATGAAACTAACCTAAACAGAAAATGTGATGGTTGGTTACCCTATCAAGAGGAGATCTTAAATTATTCAGTTCCGAAAATATGTAAATTTGTTTCAAAAGCATAATGAATTATTGGATTATGATTAATGTAGAAAATGAAGATTAGTTGAACTGTGATTATGTTTCTCTGCTTGTGAACAGTTCTCCGAATAAAACTTTGAGTGGCCGCTTACAGACGTGACTATTTAATGTGAAGTTTCAATAGGATAATTTTAAAGACATGTCTTTATTTATCATAGCATTATTTATATCCCAGTGTTTATAGATTCATCAATTATCTTTTCAACACACATCATTATCGAAAAGCCTTAAGTTGTATTTTCTAAGTGCTATTTTAATGAATTCACTAACAACAAAATAGCAAAATCCTTTTCAAGTTGTACTGAATCCAACAACTTGAGGGAAAATATTCCAGATTTTGATGAAAATATCATCTTTTAATAAACAAAATATATTCTGTTCCTCTTGTTATCTTAAGAAGTAATAGATTACCATGAAAAGAAAACCAAGATAAAATGCATGACGGCAAAATTAAACACGTGTTTATGTTTTTCTCTAAAATCGAAACAACTTGGAAAACAAATCTTTCTATAACATTAACTTAAGACAAACTGCAAATGTTAAAGTTTTATGATTGTATTTCAAAGTTTTGAATGACGTAAATATCATGCAGATCCAAGTCAAAATATTGTGCACTTTATTGGAGGATTTGCTACTTATAATAACCACCACTAAGAAAAGTAGGAAAAAAAAACTCATCGTCAGAAGCATCGATTACTGTGATAAAAGTAAACATGACGTTTTCAAAACGGATCTGCGTCGTCTTTTCGTCATTGTTGAATCAGAACTTTAAAATCTGGACTCAGTGTATTATGTTGAGAGATACACTGTCTGAAGAATGCCATGGATTGACCGCGCAGCTCGTGCCACATAGACATAATATGGTGCGGTTCTTGGTCATCTACGCTTATATGATCAACATCAGCATTGCCATCAGCAACCCACATGGATCTGAAAGTCATAAACGGATGTGTTTTTGAGTCCTTCGTCAATTTTATATCCGAAATTTCTACTAAAGTGTCAGTCAGTTTCGGAATGATCTTCATTTTCAACGAGCCACCGTCGTGATAGTAAATTTGCATTGTCAAGGTCCTCACTTCAAGATCAATATGTCTGATCGAAGCTGATGGTCGATTATCAAAAAGGTTAGTCTGGCCTATAAGAAGGGATGAACCAAACGGTATCCAGTCGAGACCATGTGGTGTTACAGGGAGTAATCGTATATTTCCGTCTTGATAAATGACAAATATCTGAGAGAAGTGGTCTTTTGTCCAAGGTATCCTGTCATAAATTCTGAAGTAGTCAGCAGCATTGAAGATTTCTCCGTTTTCCACAATCCTCACCGTCATAGTCTGGTTGATCAACCACCAAAAATCTATGTCAGCACCCTCCACTAAATTCTTGCCTGAATTGTACATATGAAAGAACCGAGTGTGCCGTCTTGGACGCCGTGTCATTTCTATGTTATCGATCTCGACAATGGCTCTCTTTTTAGAATGAATAATAAATTTTACTCGATTGTCCTCACCTTCTTTCCATGTAAAATCAGGAATCGTCCATATATGCTCACGTATATATTTATGAAACTCTTTACTCACAGGCGTGGACCATTTGCGATTCCGTCCCATATATTCCATGGAAACCTCACAGGGCTCAGAAACATGTTTTAATCGGAAATAGATATCTGATCCTATTTCAGAATCTACAACCCCTTCGTTTGGTCCATCCAATCTGAAAACTATGCTCACACTAATCTCCTTATCATTACTAACGGCAATCAATGCAGCAATATTTTTTACTTCCTGTTTATTACTGATGCCTGAAATACTGGCAATATTGTACTTTTGATGATGGTAATATGATGATGAAAATTCTATCTCATTAAATTTCCATAAAGATCTTATTTGATGACAGTTGGTGAAATCAGGCTCTCTACTGTTGTTGAAAGATGAATACCTAGGTAGATTCGCCATAATCTGTATAGTTCGCGCTTTACTGACAAAAATAGGAATATTGACATTATCCTCCTCAGAACACTGTGTATATCTACTCTTTTGCACAACCCTAGCCAGACCATGGCTGTAATTCTTCACTGGTAAATTGTAGCGTATGTTACTGAAACAATAAACCATGCATTTAAATTCGAATTCACCATGTTGGCTATTAGAAGATATTTCAAGATTGTCTATCTCGACCCCAAATACATCCGACTTGAGAACGGTGACCGTTAACCTATGTCGTCCAACAGAGAACACACGCGGAGAGCCTGTATTTTGCACAATTTGGAAATCATTCCAGTGTTTTCCAAAATGAGATCGAGCTTCAGTCGTCAATTCAGCCACATCCGTTGTGTCTATTGAGAACTGGACAATGTCAGATCCGCCGTCGTTTGAATATTTTAGCTGTTCTATCTTGACTTCAGAGTTTTCCGTTAAGCAGAACTCGAAGTGGAATTTGTCACCTTGGCTGAAAGAAACGGCTTTTGCTTTCGTTGCCGATGATCTTGACATTATTTTCATGCTTCGACCTTTGTCAATTATTGCATCCTCTGCCTCGAATACAAATCTGGCTCCACTGGTGTATTCCAAACACAATAAATTAATTACGCCGCCCACTAAAAGAACAATTTGTCGGGATGTAATAGCTGATATCATCGCTTCGAAATTAATTGCTCAGTATCAATATTAATAGTTATTGGTTATAACTAGTAAAATTTTGTTAATAGCAGATTAATCGGTACATATATGACCCTGTTCTTGTAAGAGATATAAATAATATGGATAATCAAGAATTACTTTGGGATTATAAACCAAAGCAGTTGATAATATATTTGGCGGACGCAATCGATCACGTTAATGTGATACGTACACATCAGACTGATCAAAGTGTTAAAGGCTCAGATAATCACTGAGGGATGCCACAAACAAAGCGTCTTCATTATAAAGTTTCTAGACAATGATATGATACAGAATATTCTTTATACATAAATAAAAGTCAGCACAATTATTACATTTATCAAAGAGGGAAAATATATTACCTCACCGCAGATTAACAGTTTTAATGGTAAATTTCGCTGATTGTTGCAACGTATCGACATGAAATTATTTGTATAAAATCTATTTTACTTCTTTTTGCTGCAGCGGCTATTAATTTATTTGTGGTTAACAATTACTAGTATGCAAAAAGTTTAGTGCACAAATTCTCAAATGGTATGCATATACCATGATCTGCATATAAGATATTATACAATACAAGGCTGGAACGTATGACAGCTAACAATTATATTTCAGGGATTGTTTTGTTGGCATAGATATTTACATTCGTAGCGACCCCTGTATGTGCCATTAGATTTTAGTAAACCCGTAAAGTAACATTCAGCCGTGTACTTTATACACTTTAAATATTATCAAGATGTTATTACTGCTAGAAATTATACAATTATTATGGAAAATTTTCAAACGCTGGCTTGCAAGTGTTATTTGTTATTTGTTAAAGACATTATCTTAAAGAAACTGCACGTATTATACTAGAAAGAAGACAACGATTGCATACTTAGATAGAATTTATTTTGGCAAGAAAACAACGCAAAAGTAAACTTTATGTAGAACGATTGGAAACTATCGAAAGACGAAATACAGATTAGGATACATGAACTGAATATTGAAAAAGAATATTTCCGAAAAATTATGAATTTTACGCAAGAAACAAATTATAGCATCATGTTATATTTTTGTTATTATAATGAAAACAAAAACAACCACCCTCAATAAAGTCAATCACATATATGTGTATACAATGTATGTAAATATATATATATATATATATATATATATATATATATATATATATATATATATATATATATATATATATATATGTATATATGTGTGTATATATGTAAAATATATATATATGTGTGTGTATATATATATATATATATATATATATATATATATATATATATATGTGTGTGTGTGTACATATATATATATATATATATATATATATATA